ACACACACACACACACACACACACACACACACACACACACACACACACACACACACACACACACACACACACACACACACACACAAACACAAATCCTAAGGGCTGAATTGATCCTGGCTCTCAGCTCTAGGCTTGTTATTGCTGTTTTTCCTCAGCTAGTGTTCCTAGTGAACAAACTGTGTGTGTGTGTGTGTGTGTGTGTGTGTGTGTGTGTGTGTGTGTGTGTGTGTGTGTGTGTGTGTGCGTGCAAGTTCAGCAGAGCTCGGTCTCCTCAAGAGGAAAGATGGGGAGGGGGTGAGTGGCTCAGCACGGTGATTCATTTGTAATTTGGAGCAGTGCTTCTTAAGGGTGGGCACACTTGTCAGAGATGAGACTGACTGAGTGAGCCAAGTCATTGACAACCGCTGCCTCCTAACAAGCCTGAGAAGACGGAAAGAACGGGGCAGGGGGAGGAGACATCACACCACGGACAAACATCAATTGCGTTAAACGGAGACAATTCAAATGAAGAATTTCTGCACATAACTGAGAAGGGTTTAATGGTGCGTACAAGGCAGTGCATCAATAAGGGGGGAAAGCAATAAAGGGAAGCGTGACAGTTTGTAAAACATATGCATGTTCCTGCCCTAAATTGAGAACATGAAGCATCACCTGGTACTATGTGGGTTAGCAGGCCAGATTTTCCCCTAAAGCCTCCAAATCTGTCGCCAACGGATGACATCATGTGAAATCCCTGGCCCTCGCTTGAACCCGTGAATCAACAACTCTGCCTGTTGACAGCTGGAGGCTGCAGTTTATTGGGCAGGAGGAGTTTTGTGAGTCATCCCTGAGGAATTACATCGCGACTGAGCGGCAGATTTATGATCTCTGATTCACGTCCTTATTCACAGAGCGCGAGAGAAAAATCACAATCACATATTTGAGGATAATTACTTGCAGATATACATGCTGCACTGTATGTCTTCTCGGTCACTTGCAACTTTTTCCCATCAGCTTTTTTTGCCATCAGTGAAAGACGACTGTTTGGATTGAATCTGGCTCCAAAGAGCTTGGCTGCACGTTTCATTAGTATAAAGAAATGTTCTCAGAGCTCAGTAATAAATTTTGCACGTGGTTATGTGGTCCTGCCAGACGCTCTGAGCTAATTTTCACTCTGTGGTCATTCCACGTCTTATCCTCAAAGGTGCCTCGCCAGCACCACTCACCTCAAGACTGTCAGCTGGCACCTCAAACTGGTCAGTTATGCAGACAGGCTGCTAAAAAAAGATGAAAGGTTATTGGCTCTTTATAGATAGGTCAGCTGGCCCGAGTTGCTGAAACAGGTTTGGTGCAAAAATAATCCTTCTGTCAGATCACTGTTGTAGCTCTCTCTAAGATACCATATGCTCTGAGGACAGAGAGGCGTAGCATATGCAGCAGGGAAAAACAATAACGCTATTTAAAACATTTTTTAAATGTTAAACTATATTGTCTCTGTCCATGGTGCTGAATTGAGTCATTCTTTTATTTTCTCCTGGCAAACTGCCAGTTCAATCAGGCGAGGTTATTTGGAAGAACTGAACGTGATTATACTCCAATGGCCCGTCAGAGCAGAGGGGTGACAGGAATTAGACTGGACCAAGATGGAGGCTTGGATGGGGCTCTGAGTGACCGGGGTGAGGCAGATGTGGGGAGCAGGTGGCTTGCACCAATGAGAGTCTGAAAGGCAGAATGACAGAGGAGTGCTGAGATTTAAAGTAGGCAAGATGCGGGCTGATTGGCTCGGAGAAGGCAGTGTGGGAAAGTGGAAAATCTTTTCTGTAGGTGTAAGGTTATACAGATCTTATTACTACAGCTTTTAAAACAGATTAAACCAAAAATTATTGGCAAATTTCTTTGACAAACATGTGACATTTGTATGTATTTGATCGAAACTGACCTGACATTATTGCCGTATTAATAAACTGAGTAAACAATAGTTAAGTTCCACAAAAAAAGAACATTTCAGTGTTGCTGCTGAGATGTCCTAACACTACGTCTGCCCTGTACTGAACTAAACACAGGCTGTTGGAGCACCGCGACATTTCTCATAACTCACAAAGTGACACAAAAAAATTAATTTTCTGGCCACAGCTGTGACTTTTCTAATGATGTCGTCAGTATGCTCAGACAATGAAAAATAGTGGTCCAGTGTAATTCGCCATAATCTAATTGGCTTGTTCTAGTTTTTGAGACCTGTGCCCGGAGCTGTTAGAGCGCTCTCACTGTAATTTAGATATATTTAAAACCGTATGATTGTACAGACCAAGTTTAGCACAGTTGCCAATGTGTCCTAGCACAGCAGATAAATTATTGCAGTAGAATAAAGCACAGTGGAATAATTGGTTTATAACCACAGCATCCTGAGCATGCCTGATCTCTGATCTGATCTTGGACACTGAGCAAGGTCGAGACTAGTTGATGCTTGGATGAGAGACTGCCTGGGAGTACAGGGTTGTGTAAGCTTGGACGCCACAGTGGTGCAGTGAGACGTTTCCTGGTTTGATCCCTGGCTTGGGTTTTCTGTGTGGCATTTGCATGTTCTCCTTGTGTCTGTATGGATTTCTTTTGGGTATGTCGGCTCCCTCCAACTGTACAAATACATGCATGTTAGACTAGGTGGTAGATTAGCCATGGATGTGAGGTAAGTGCACAGAATAAAGCAATGTATGGTTAGCACTTGTTTCACTTCCAAGAAGACAGACTTACTTCTCTAAGCTTTGTGACAGTCTTTCAAAGTTTTTCTTAGAAAATTGGTTACTTTTTCACTCATTTTCAGTCCAGCGCTTGTAGCTAAACGCTTTCAAAGGATGTTGTTCTATTTGTTAAGCCACTGAACACTGACTCATGCTGAGGACCAAAGCAGATAAACAGTATATGAGGGAGGGAAGCAAGGAGAAAAGACTGAGGTATTGTTAGGGCCGAGATGGCCAGGCTGTGGGTGTGGACTCAAATGCAGACACAGAGGGAGGCAAAACGGGTGTGAACACAGTGCTTTATTTACAGTGCCTAGTTAACTTACAAAGCAGGAAACTATGAATGCTATGAACGGAGAATGCTATGAACTGTGGAAGCTATGAACTGAGAACTGTGAGGCCAAACTATGAACATGAAACTCTGAGTGCTATGACTAGGTGCTAGATTTCATGGATGGATCCTGGGAATGGAAAATAGGGGCAGCGGCTTGGATGGAGGTACGCAGTCACTATAATGAGAGGAGACAAGTAGTCAGTGGCAGTCTAGTGAAACACAGCTGAAGGATTAGACTATGGTGGTTAGGGCTTACGCAGGGTAAAGTGTCATGCGAGGAGGGGGTGTCCAAGGGGTTCCGGGTGAGGAGTGTCCAGAGAGGATCCAGAATATACTTGGAGTGAGGGACTTGGCAGGGAGGCAGGCAGGTGTAGTCCAATGATGGAAAGGAAGCAACCAGATGACAGAACCAGCGTCCAGGTGGAGATGTGAGTAGTTTAGCTTGGGAAGTGCGACTGCCAGGTGGGTCCTATGACAAAGAAAACACGGTGAGGAGAAAAGCAGTAGTTAAGGGTTCTCACAAGGGCTTGACGGCCTAGCACTAACGTGAGTTAGCAGAAGATCTGGCAGAGGTCTGTTGTGAATGCTGGTCTTATATGCTGGTGACTTGATTGGAACCAGGTGTGGAAGCTGATTGGAGTCTCTGCTTGAAGGTGGAGCCCAGCGGAGTGGAAAAACCCCGTACTCACCCGGACCATGACAGGTATGACAAATTACACAAGAACTGGACTGAAATTCACTGGCAACAGATCTTATGGAGTGATGAATCCTAATTTGAACTTTTTGGTTGAAATCATCACAAATCATCACAACAGTGGCACAAAGAAAGTCCAGAAGTTAAACAGTGCGTGTCTTTAGCCTTCTGTAAAACACGGTGAAGGTGCTGTCATGGTTTAGGGCTGCATTTTCTATTTGTAGCCAGTGGTCTTGGGGATCTTGTCAAAACTGATGAAATTCTGAATAAAGAAAAGTTCAGTCAGATTTTTATCCACCATCCAACAGCATCTGGAGAGCATCTGCTGGGTAGCACCTTCATTTCATTTAGTTGGCAGAGAGTAGTAAAAAGAAGCAAACATCCCTCAAATTTGTGGAAAAGTCTGAATTTTGAATGGGATAAAAACTGTTACTGTTAGTACTAACATTTAAAAAAAAAGGGGGGGGGGTCATTTCTATTAAAGTTTTTATGTATAAAAAGTGTTTTTTATTATTTTATTTTTGTCAGTCGAACATTGCATTGCAAGCCTCCACCCAGCTAAATCTTACATCTTCTAGCTGCATCTGGCACAGGGTATACATTGTCCATCGTTCCTGCCAAATAAATAAACATAAAACGGTTATACTAGTAAAGTACATACAAATAAAATTAATTGAAATTAAAAAGTACTTATTCCCCTTCGAAAAGCAGAACAATAAAAAAGGTAACCTATGGAAGGGAAATGCAGACTATAACCTGCCACATTAAGCGCTTTCCTGAGTCTACAGGATGAATAGACATCCTTAGGAAAAGTCCACTTCTCGAAGCCTCACGAGGCTGTGTCAGTATCTAGCAGTTTCGTCTCTCGCCTGTTGATGTCAGTCTTGCTCCTCTACCCCTCGGAGTCCCCACGCTCACACACATTTACACACAGCCACACTCTCGCAGCTTCAAACCCGGATGGATGACTTCACCGTTCTGCCTGGGTTTCCTTTATGATCCCGGGATCTCCCACTTCCCTCGCCAGACATCAGCCAGCAACACAGGCGAACACATCTCTCTCTCTTTCTCACACGCACACACAGATACGCGCACACAGTCACGCTCGGTTCCTCTGCTGCCGCTGCAACACATCCAGAGACCACAAAAGCACCCGGACCTCACGCACCGGCTCCCCTCATCCACGCAGACCGAGGATCGCAGCAGGAGACGGCGCTCTCAGACGGAACTGTACTGGCACCACCGGGGAAGAATTTCAACAACTTTTTTTTGCTTGATTTAAAAATTAAAGAACTTCCCGAAGCTGGTGACCCTTCTTCACTGTCGTTCCACGATGTCTGAGGTGCTGCCATACAACGAGGGGAAAATGAGCGGCTACGGGGCGGACAGCGAGGTCAGCCAGATGTCCTTTAGCTGCGGACTGCAGGACACAAGCGCCTTTTTCGCAGCGTCGCAGGCAAAAAGACCCCCAAAGCTCGGGCAGATCGGCAGAGCCAAAAGAGGTAAAAACGAATTCAGACGCTTGACATTTACAAAGAATGGCAGAATTATATACGCTGCGCAAAAATGAGCTAGTTGTATGAATGGCGCTTTAAGTGACTTTGGAATTAAGTTCCCACATTACCGTCGTTTCCAGAATCTTCCGTGATTACCAGCAGCTCGATGCAAAATGCACCGCAGTTGTTGTTTTTCTCACAAGTGTCACTGGTCGTGAACGACATCCAGACTGTTTACATTCACGCACCAGCGATAATATTCATGCAAGGACACACCCCGTGATGCAATCGACTCAAGTGTAGGGTTTAAACGAAGGGATTAAATAATATTAATAATAATAATAAAGAAATGGCTCGAGAATGAGTTGTTTTCACCGAGTGCGTGTGTGCGGGGATTGGGGATTTGCGATAGTAATAATAATTCACCGTGCAAGCGCACAAGGGCCACATTTGCCCAAACTTACTTTTATTTAGTGCGCAATACCCCCCAAAATAAATCGTGACTTCTGATTGTGGCTCTGAGTAAACAACCTCTTCCTCTTTTTCTCCTCCACAGTGGTCATCGAGGACGACCGAATAGATGAAGTCCTGAAGGGGATGACAGACAAGTCTTCGCCCGGCGTTTAAACGTGACCGATGCCTTGCAGACTTTTTTAATTTTGATCACCGATTTGAAGCACTTGTCGGCTGTGCATGTTCGAGGATTGTGCGGGGAGGAAAAAAAATCACGACGGCACGAAGCGAGGATGGGGTGATGAAATGAAATGGAGAGGAAAAAAAGAGGCAGAGAAAAGGGAACGGAGAAGGCTGAAGAGAAGAGATGAAGGGAAGAGGAAGGAAGAATAAGATGAGAGAGAGAAAGAGAGAGACAGAGAGACTCTGGGGAGGAAAAAAATAAAAGACCAAGATTTATCATGGGATTGCTGGCAATTCTCCAAACGAATCCCGATTTTAACTACAGCTGCGCAGCAGGATGTTGAGATGGCGGGCCCCGCTCTGTATCTCAACCTCTGCTGACTTTAATGATGGATGAACTTGTCATTAATTCACGACCATCTCTATTTTTTCCTCCTTTCCCCCCCTAAAGCGCTGTAAGCATCAAAAATACTGCAACTAGAGGCTGAAGCTAAATCCCAGCCCCATTTCAATAAGTTGTACAGTAGGTAGGCTAAGCTCCGAGACATCCCCCTCCCCCCCTCCAATACCTTCCCTCCCTCCTTTAGGCTCTGCTTTGTTGATTCAATCGGCGACGGTGCATTCAAGGGAGCTGTCCTTTCAGCACCGGTCCAATGCATTCCTGTTGCTGCTAATGCTTTTTGAAAACAGACCAACCAAAACTCTACAGTCTGCTAAATAGAGGAGACACGTTGTATGTAAGAAAAAAACAAACAAATATATATATAAATACATATATAGATATATATATAGGAGGGTGCAATGTGAATATTTTCTGTTTTGGCACTTAAACAACAATAGGCTGCAGATTAATTGAAAAAAACAAGGCTACATTCTTCTTCTTGCACCACCCATCAGTGGTGAAAGGTGCAGGCTGACACCTTCATGTAGCCGATTTACACCTGCACATATCTCTTTAAAAATTAATCTTTTCTTTGCATTTCCAAATGCTCAGATATCTACAGAGGCCAGCAGGAACACGGACATTATAGTAATGTTTTAAATAACAGTCATGAAATTGATGGGAAAAAAACATTTGCTCTCTATAATTTGGTTGTTTAGATTTTGCAAATATTTGTGTTTCGTCTTCGATGACTTTAAAGATTCTCTCCATCTATTTGCATGAACTTTCACTCCGGTGCCAACGCAGGTGCCACCACTCTTACCCTGGCACGCTTCTTTTTAACGAAAGTCATATTTGTATTTTTATATCTAAATATTTGTTATTTAAATTATATGCTAGTCTATCGTCTTAGAATTCATCAACAGGAATATTTGTATTACGGAGAGGATATACAGAATGAGACTGGCCTTCAGAGAGGCAAAGCGAGGACTTTTTGGGGGGAGTTGGACTGGTCTCATTCTATATCAGATGTCGCACATTTTTTAAAGACTAACTGAATGTGTCTGGGGTTTTTGCACACATCAATGTTAAACTATTATTAAGAAATCGTATACTGTGACTTGAGCTTCGTTGATGAATTTGTTAGAAAATGGCAGTTTTAGAGTATATTGCACTGTTTACGAGTATCCTCAAATAACATGTTGTTATATGATCGATTTTTGGACATTACAGTTTTTGTTTTGTTCTGTTTTTCTTTTTCTTTTCTTTTTTTTTCTTTTTTTTGTTTATTTTGTACCATTATTTTAAAGAAACTGGATATGGTTTGTTGTGCATGAAACCTTAATATTTTCAATAATGAAACATCGTTTTATGAAGCAAAAAAGCAACAAAAATGTCATGACATTCTAAGAATGAGTCATTGTATATTATGATGCCATTTTCACTGTATTTGGTGAATTAATAAATGGTGAAAGAAAATGTTAATGCGATTCGTTGATATGGCTTTTATCCCAAGACACTCTCTCTCTCTGTGTGTGTGTGTGTGCGAGCAGAATAACAAACAAACTTGGACTGCTTCTGTGAATCGCACTGCAGAAGGCAAAAAAATCAACAACAACACATAAACGAAACAAAGGGCGCACCATGCGACACACACCGTTGCAGCACTGGGAATCGAAAGGCTTTTGTGCAATCGGTAGCCATCACCTTTGTGACAGTAAATACTGATCCTCGATTAAAGAGCGAAACAGTGATCCAGCTGCTGAGCTGTAAAACAGCTCTTGTGCCGGCCTACACTAGTGAATCCGTTAAATCCAAAACCCCTAGGGAGCTACAACTGGCTACACGATCATCTATCAAAGTCTGGCAGTGTCCCTCATACAGTAGCTCTTGATTAGTCTATCACATGTTCAAGCTGTCTTTAATTTCCCAACTCTGACGCTCAGGTATCATAAGTGTCATGGTCTTAAAATACTGGTTGCAGCATTTTTATTTATTTTTCTTCATCCAATGTGCCCCCATTGTCCTGTCAGGTGAACTACATTTAAACTATCACTTTGCCACCTCTCAGTTATCATCGGTTAACTGGTCCATTACTAGTCAGCCACTACAATAAGCTTGTGGTCTATGCTATTTACCAGCCGTACATACTATAACACAGGGATCAGTGAGCTTGGAAAGAAGGTTGACTGGACTTCTTTGAGTTTCGTGAAGATACTAAACAAAAGAACTGAAACTTTAGAACTGAAGAAGCCTCTCGGATGAGAGGTGAAACGCCTTCACAAAGATTAAAGAAGTCCAGTCGCTTTTCTTCAAGCTCTTTAGACTATACAGACCAATGATTTCACCTGTTGAGACCTTCTAAATCCTCAAGAACTGTTGCTCTTTGGACTTCCTAGCACTCCCTTTTAGTTGGTTGGGCTCCTGCACCCATTCATGGCAACCTTCTGATAAATTGTTTGCTGAGCATATTTTGCTGAAAGTGAGAACATTTCTCCAATTGAAAAACGCTACGTCCAGATGAACAGAATGAACCTCTTGGGAGTCACTCCACAGCTTTTCCCTATAGAAAGCCTCATTTTAACAGTGATTCTTGTTTGGGAATCATAGTTTTGTTGTTTGTTTGTTTGTTTTTATTTTCCAGGAAGAGCTGCTAATGAATCCTGTGCCAGCAACATTGCTTATCTGTTCGGGGAAACATGGTCAGGTAATATCAGCTCTCCACAACAAACTGAACACAGAGCCAATCACACTCCAGCTTCTATTTCTGGAAATCATGCAAGCTCAATAATACATTTCATCAGTTTCAAACATCGAGTACCAGGGCGGATCTATAAACAGCTACATGTTATGACAACAACAACACATGCATTTTTATTTTAATTGCACTCCATCCTAAAAGAAGAATATACGAGCGTCGACAAAGCGTCACGAGTGTAACCATCCACGTTCCCATCAGCGACATTATTGACTGTCCTCACAACATCAGCACTGTGCAGAATGAACAAATAGTGCTATTGATTATGTTGTTGTTGTAGTTGGTCTATGTGTGCGTGTGTGTGTGGCTGACTGAGGCCGTGGACAATTACACATCTCACAGTAATGGGCAGTCCTGGCAGGCCGGAACCAGACTGACATATATGGGCTGATATTAAGCTTCATGCCTCTTACCCTGTCATCAGCATGTCTCTGTACATGTGAATCGTTTAAAAGTCAGACTATCAATGGCGCTGCAGTGGCTGTTCAGATTCTGTTGTTCAGGATAATTATCAAATATGTTCATGTTCAGGAATTGAACAGATTATGCATCAACCTATAGAAATTTAATTTAGATATGTAGATTCTCCTAACATGAAACACCTCCCTAACTATTAAAAACACAAAACTGACTATTTCACTGAGTAATATATTCTTTGATTACAATCATCTTGTATTATCGCCCAAGAAAACTTTGAGATTCAGTAGTTTCCATTAGCTTGGTGTCATCCAGGTCATGGTAGCCCAGCGTGTTTCAAAACAAGGCAGATGGACTTCTTTAAGTACATGAAGACATTTTGCCTCTCCTCCAAGAAGCTTCTTTGGATCATAGTCACAGGTATTTAGGGCTGTCCCCTTGGGGCTATCCTTTTCCAGGCATTTTCAACCCCCACTCACACCTTGACTCAGGTGACCTCAATAGCTTAAATGGTAGTAGGCTGTGGTGCGGCAGGGATTTCACACTTTGGTCCTGGTGATGGTAATGAACCACAACTTTTTTAAAACCTTGGCTCATGTGTTAAGGATTGGCCTTCCCACAGCCTGGAACTCAAAGGTATTGAAAGAGTGTGAGATCATCTTGACAGAGAATGTGGAAAAACAGCCAAGAAGAACCTTGAATGTCTTTTAAAGAGCTTGGAGAGCTATTCCTAAAGACTTCTTAAAGAAACTATAGTACAAGAAATATTGGCTGAGAAAGGTCAGGCTTTGCTGAAGACTAAAGGTGGTCATACAAAATACTGAATTTCAAGCTTGTTAGAATTGAAAAAAGTCAGTTTTTGCCTAATATACTGTATTTCCATCTATGTTTGCACACAGTTCAAAAAACTGCATTTTCCTGACACAATATAAAGAAATAAGGGCTAAAGACTTTTGCACAGCACTGTATGTGAATAAAAACAAAAGTCATAATAGGTTCTCTTTAAACTGCAGCATAAGACGTTTCTTTAACATTTCAGTGAACCTGTGAGCTACTGCCCTCTGATGACACACTCATTCAGTTCCATCCAGTCATCATTTTACAACTCTGAAGGTCAGAGGTCACATGACTGCTGGCTGGACTCGCAGATGTAACTCAGGCTGACGTAGAAGGTAGCCTGGGAGTGCAGGCAATGCTCGGGTCACGAGAGACGTGGCATTCTGTGCTAGGATGCAAACACGAGCCCCACAAACATGCAGAATGAGCACTGTCGATGTTATTGCCGTCAGACCCTCTGTTGTCATCCCCTAAGCACACAAACGCCACTTTCCCCAACATCCTGAGTGGGCATACATTAATATTTCTCCTCCTGTTACATAATTCTGCCACACAAGATACCATACCATTATGCCCTCCCACGAGACGTGCTGTTGAAAGCAGCAGCGTCATTTCCTCTTAGACTACGCTGCTTTTAATGCAGCTACCGCAGCTAGTCTGAAGCCAGTGGCTACACTGTGTGTAAGTGAAAGGAAAAGACTTTATTCATTAGGATAACACTGAACACCCTGAATGCCAGAAAAAACTAATCTGAAAAAACCCCCAGTGATTTAAGCCACTTCAACTAGAGTTAAA